TATTGTGAAACATTGCAGACAAAGCAATAAAAGCATCTGACTGGTCCACCACCAGAAAAGTTACACAAGTTTGGTTTTTCACATTCTTAAGACTCGACTTGTTACAGTACTCACAGTAGAACCCAAAAAAGCATATTTTTTAAACTGACTTACAATCCTGCAAAAGGGGGAGACCTGAAGTTGAACCATTTCCCTTCAAATCGAACGCTTTTCAATGACAGTGATGGAGCAGTTATAAGTGTCTTTACTCTGGTATTTTCTCAACAGTCAAACATCATGTACTGACAGGGACCAGACCCCCTGTCAATCCAGATTCGCACTAAAACACAGAATCAAAATATCTGACAAATAACACAGCTGTCAATGGGATGTTCCACTATCTGACACATTATTTGAAAAAAAAAAAAAAAAAAGTCAAAACATTCATCCATTTTGAAAAGCAGAGGTGTTGCGTAGCCCGAGGAAGCCGTCATTACAGATAATTGGTGAAGAGATAAAATGTCACTGTTTTTTTTTTCTATTTGTCAAGATTGGTTTCGTAACATTTTGACAGCTGTACTTGACGTTTTCAGTTACTCTAAAATGTGATGTGAATGTGACATAAAAATATATATTGAAACTATAAAGTACATTATGTTGAAACCACAATTTGAATTTTAGGCAGTACAATAAAAAGTTTGTTGCACTCTGTCACTTTTCTGGTAGAGGGCCCGCCGGTTGCTTGTTTCCATGGAGATGCTATTGCTTATGTTCCAAAATATAGCATTAAACGCATCAATCTCCATAGAGACAAGCAGCTGAGAGTGCAGATCTGTGAAGAGGCGACCCCACTCACTCACAATGCATGTTTTTAAAGACATTTTGAGCAGGGATGTAACAATAACAGAAATACTGTGATATCATATCGTCAAAAGTTTCACAATAATATCATGGGGTGACACAGTGTATCAAATCACAAGTTCCTTTGCTTAAATACATTGCTAAACTTTGACAACTACATATCCCATGATTCATTTCAGCGCAGACAACATGAAGTAATATGTTTTTTTACTTGAATTCTTGGGATTATGACAGTAATAGTTCACACCAAAATCTTGTCAAGGTATTTTAAAACGCAAAAAACTGTCCCCTCTACAATTACATCAGCTTCTCCAAAATATCGCAATAAATATCGTACCATGAGATGCATTATCATAATATTGTACCGAGAAATTTGGATATTGTTACATCCCTAATTGTGAGCAATAAATACACCTATAATTGGATAGATACATCTTATATAAGTTTAATCCCATATTATGGAACTTAGACTTAGACCAGACTTTACTTGATTAAAGGGAAATTACTTGGACACAGTAGCTCACACGTCGCAATACATTACAATAACAAAGAGTAAAAAATATAAAAATGGTAATAACATTTCTAAATAAGCAATGAAAATAGCAAGAGACTAGGGTCAAATAAGACATAATTATATAAATGTGTATGTACAAGTTAGTATGACAGACAAAGCAATAACATCTCCATGGTGGCAGACCCCAATCTGAAAAGTTCCGCAGTGCACCTTTAACTTGCTAGTATAGACAGAAAATTCACCTTTATGTTTAGTGCTGTCCGAATCAAAATACAGCATGTACATAAGTGTAATGTGTAAAAAAAGCCCCGACATTGCTAATGAACTATAAGGAAATACTGGGACACGCATGAAAAAAAACATTCCAATCTCAATGTTTTTTTTTGCTTTTTTTTATGATTTTAAAGGTGCACTATGTAACTTTTCTAGTGGAGAGTGCACCACCTGCTTACATGCAGTTCCTTCATCTATCTCCACAGCCATATCATATTGCCTAGTATGAATGTGTTGTGTGGAATTCCGTGTGATTATTATTATTATTATTATTATGATATCACAAGGCCAAGTTACAGCTCAGATCTGTGGAGAAACAACCCCGCACACAGTCAGAATACATGTTTGTCCGAGTGCTTAAATCAAATGTAACGGAGCAAATGCAAGGCAGATACAATTTGCACCATACTGTGGAACATTCAAGGCTAAGCAGTGTAGTATGTATGCATTCTTCATTATAATTGTGTAGGGAAATTTGTCCTCTGCATTTGACCCGTCCTTCAATGCAAAAGGACAACGGTAATGAAGCACCCGGGGACCCAACTCCAGGTCGTGAGGTAGTAATAGCCTATTGTGCGTGTTTATAGGTTCTGACCAGCCAATCCCTTCGAAAATCTGGTCAAATCCAGAAAATACAAGAACCAGACTGCAGAACGTGAAAATCCTTCATCTGAACTTGAGTTGATACAAACAGAGCTGCTAATTTGAATCACGTGACTCTCAAATGAGGAAAACATCACATCACAAGTTTTGTGCTTCGATTCTTGATTCTGCAAAAACTGTATTGCTGTATTTCCCTCTTTTTTTACATGTAAACCACCACTTTCATTTAGCAGAGAACTGCCCTTGCCTCTCTCTGATTGGTCAATCCACCTGTCAATCATGATGTCTGAAATCAGGGAGACAGACAGCTCCAGATTGCCACAATTTTGTCAAGTTTTGTCAAAGCATGTGGTTCTGACTGGCCACGTAGGGCAACAAAAAAGCAAAAAAACAAAACATGGGGAGAATATGCAGACTCCATATACACACAAACCCAATTCACTTTATTATAGCACTTTTGACAAACAAAGCCGTTTCCAAAGTGCTGCACAGTGATCATAAAACGAAGAAAACAAAAAGGTAAATTGCTCAAAATTGGATCATACCAGTCCAACAAGTAGTAGTAAAGTCAAATAAAAGTGTAAGAAAACCATAAAAATCATAAAATAGCAATAAATAGCGTTCCACTGAGCATTGTACTGCATTGCTTTACTATAAACAACCTTCAGAAACTTCACTTTATTCCACAGTCATCTGCAGACAAAACAGCAAAGCGACTCACCTTGAAGACACAACAATGGATTCTATATGCAGCTTTAGCTTGAGCTTTCAGCCCTGTCCTCAAACACAGATAAGTCCAATGACAAAGAGCCCGCCGCCCACCAGATCGCAGATAAGTTTGAAAAATGCACCGCTCACTTCATCATAAGACAAAGCGGGCAACAACATCGATCTTACGCTGAGGATTACGGGAAAAATGAGTGACGCAATAGACAAGAAATCCGAAGAAAAGTCAGTAAATATGTCCAAATTCTATTACTTTTAACAGTATGATCTTTTTTCTATAGCACCTTTCACTGTTTTTAAAGCTGCACTATGTAACTTTTTGGTTGGGGGTCCTTCACCTGCTTGGATATGTCATCGCTCTGCCTGGAATGTTCCACAGTATGACATTAAACAGCTCTACTTTACATTTATTCAATCACAAGTGGTTTATAGCTCAAAAATACCTAGAAAAACAGGCATTCTGACTCTGAGCGGGGTCGCCTCTCCACAGATCTGACGTATAGCTTCTTCTGGTTTGGTCTCCGTGAAGATAGAAAGGTTTAAAGTCATACTGTGAGACATTCCAGATAAAGCAAAAATAATCATCTTTATGGAGAAAAGCATTTGACGCACCCTCCACCAGAACAGTTACACAATGTAAATAGATAAATACAAAAAATCAACATTAAAAACATAATAAAAACAAAAAGTAAAAGCATAAAATAGATCCATATGAATAAATAAATACATGAAATTCATAAAACAAAATGATAAAAGACAACAGAGGGCACAAAACTCACGCTGTGTTAAAAAGTGAAACAGTAAAAGTGAATCTTAAAGGTGAATTGTGTAACTTTTCTGGTGGAGGGTCTGTCAAAAGCTTTTCTCCATGAAGCTGTCACTTATTACTTTGTCTGGAATGTTTCACAGTATGGAATTAGTTACAGGTTAGATCTGTGGAGAGGCAACCCCGCTCACAGTCAGAATGCATGTTTTTCTAGGTATTTTTAAGAAATAAATCCGCTTGAAATTGAGTACATGTCAGGTAGATCTGTTTAACGTCATACTGTGGAACATTCAAAGCCGAGCAAGGACGTATCCATAGAAACGAGCAAGTGATACATCCCTAACCAAAAAGTTACATTACGAGACTTAAAGCTGGCAGTTTTTTTTTTTCATCTTGGTTTTACATTTATATAGAGAAGACAGATCTAGCTCTAAAGAATATTATTAATAATATAAGATGCACAGCTCGATGGGGGAAAAAAAAAGAGTAAAATGAGTTTGAAAATACTGTAGAAATAGAAATAGAAATGAAAAATGTGTACAATCTGTGTGTCAAAGTAGCAGTGAGTGGTGAATGTACAAGAGGAAACTGCTAAGAAAGTTTGTTTCATGGAGTACATCAGGAAAAAGCCAATTACATGGTATAGGCTAGTGTCAACGGCGAGGGAACAATAAATAAACCAGTGAAGTTAACGCCAAAGTTACTGCTTAAAGTGCACTATGTAACTTTTCTGGTGGACTTGGTTGTTTAGAGACGCTTTTGCTTTGCCTAAAATGATCCACAGTATTACCTTAACCTAAATATATCCATCTATTTTAATTCACTTACCATACTTAGAAAATACCTTGTAAGTTACATTAAATAAATAAGATCAACAGAATCATCTCTCCACAGATCTGACCTGTAACATGGCCCGGTGTTTCTATAGCTTAATTTAATCATGTTGTGTAAAATTTGAGGCAAAGCAAGAACATTTTCAGGAGGATAAGACGGTGTCAGGTCGTTTCCTAAAAAGTTACGTAGTGCACCTTTAAGTCCCAGTTTGGTTTGTTTGAAGAAGACAGCCGGACAAGATGTTGATGCGCAATTACGCACGGATCCGAAATACGCGCACAGCCGAACCGAAGCGACACAAAAGTTTACAAAGCATCCCCTTAAGTCTTGAGTCCACAACAGCACAATCCACACAGCGTAAATAAAGTAACTGAAAACAAGCTGATAACTTTGGCACCATCACGCAGTCACGGAAAGGTGAAGAAAAGAGCGCTTGGATCTTACCGTGCCGTTCAGTTGGACGTCCCCCGGCGCTGCTCCGCGTCCAGCGACAGTCAAACGCGTGTGGACCAGAGCGACACCCGCACGAGGAGCACAGCGCGCGGACTGGAGCTGTGAAGCCTGGCGCACGCAGGACACCGGACCGGAAGTACCCTTTCACAACGACGAACGGAGACAAGGTGGGCTACGTCAGGTGACCCAGATCTGCGACGTAAAATGAAATCAAATTAGTTTTTAGTTTTTTTTAGTTTTTTTCTGTGTGTGTGTGTGTGTGTGCGTGCGTGCGTGCGTGTGTGTGTGTGTGTGTGTGTGTGAATGAAACGCTTTGATTTCTGCATTTTACCTGCTCAAAAGTTTGCTTATAATTAATTTAATATTAGTAATGCAATAAAAGTTACTAAATTAAGCAGGAAAATCGACCGTCTTTTTACTTTTGCAACTACAGTAAAAGACTCCCATGTGAATTAATTGAGGCTAGTATTTAAACTTAAAACTAGAACTTAAACTATTATGCCCCATAGCTGCAATAAGCTACAAAAATGAAATTGTATTGCAATTTTAATCAGGAAAATTACCAATAAGTCGTAAAAAAAACAAAAATATTTCGCCTATATTATTATGCAAAGTGTTGGTGAAATTATATGCTGCCATTCATATTTTATTTTGAAAGGTCAGTGCAGTCGTTTCCTGTAGCTTTGCTTACACTATCGCCACATTTACCTATCACATCCAAACACTAATATCTTAAAATGCTGTTACTTATGAAAGAATAAATTATCTTACAATACAATTATCATAACATTGGCTTATACTGGGATTAATAAAATAAAGCATTAAAACTACTATTTGAGGAGACACTTTTCACATGTATGTTAGGCTGGTCAATAAATCATAAGACAGACGAGTACAAATGGGCCAATGGAAAATAATATGTCCTAAAGGGTTATCTTGTATTAGCAAACAATATAGTGTTGAGTGACAGAAATCTAATGGAACAATGTAAGTGGTTCACATACATGTACTGAGTGTAAAAATACCTGCTGCAGTGGAGTTAGGGGCGGGCAGTGCCAGCAGATTTATGACTTTTCCCACATTAAAATAGAGACAGGAAGAATAAGAAACATGGAGGAGGGCTGGGGCTTTTTATCCCAAATACATTCAAACGCTTCCTCTGATCAAGTTTTTTCACGGTTTGTGTTCACAAAGTTGTTTTAAGGGCTTGTTTTTAAAGGTCCTGTAGATGTTGACTTTTTTATTTTCTTCTATAAGCAGATCTTGAGGTCAAATTAAGTTCGCTGTGTTGTCTGCATAATTATAAAGCATTTTAGGAATCAGTTTGGACACTTAAAGGAATTGTATTTGAATGTTTTACTGCTCAAAAATACTACAAAAAACATGCTTTCCTACAATGGCTGAGCTTGCCTCTCCACAGATCTGACCTGTAACTTGGCCTGGAAGCATTGCAGCCTTATTTAACACCATACTGTGGGAGTTTTTAGACAACATTTCCATGAAGACAAGTAGGGGGCGGACTCTCCACCATAGCGCATCTTTATATGTAAAAATAGACATGAAAAACTCCATCCTTCCATTTTCTTTCGCTTATCCGGGGCCAGGTCGCGAGGGCAGCAGTCTAAGCAGGGACTCCCAGACTTCCTTCACCCTAGACATTTCCTCCAGCTCCTCCAGGGCAACCCCAAGGCGTTCCCAGGTCGGCTGAAAGACATAGTCCCTCCAGCGTGTCCATGAAAAGCTCACTTTTTTATTTGCATGTTTGTCCATTTAAAGTGCATATGACAGGTTTTGATAATTCTCAATTTCTGCTTAATCTAGTAAGATCATACCTGTTGTAAATATAAATAATAGCTTTACATTGATCAAGTTGAAAAAGTTGAAAAATATGCTGAAAATGATAGGAAGTAGAGAGTTCTGTTGACATCACACTGGGAGAATTCTGTCCAAACGTTCAGCACAATTTACACAAGAAACACATTTTTCTGATACTTTAAACATGATTTCAACAAAATATAGGGGTTTTTCTACATTTTTATTTGTCAAATATTATTTTCTGTGTGAGTTTTGCCTCTGTGTACAATGTGGAATTCCCCAGTGTGATGTCATGATTTCCAAGCAGGAAGTAAAAATGTAAACCTAAAAAATTGCCAAACTGGAAAGAAAATTGTAAAATGTTTAGTAAATCGTAATATAACTTTAAAGGGCCCATATCCTCATCAAAAACGTACCTGGAGTTTTGTTTTGTTTTACTCACACATGTTTGATACACAAACCCTACATATTCAGGCTGAGGTGTTCTCTCAAATGGAAAACAAAACAAAAACTCTGTTCCACTTTGTGATGTCATGTGATAATACAGTTAGTGCTCCATTGTGTTTTTAAACTCCATACACCTTCACTAGAATTATTTGGATGATTTCAGCCCTGGAATTGCCGATCTCTACCGAACTAACAGTAAAAAGAAGCTGTTAACTTGAAAATTACCACTTCATGACATCACAAAGTGGAACAGAGCATTTAGAGCTTTGGAAATGTAGCCAGACTAATCATAAGGGGTTACTCAGATGCGTGTGATTGAAACAAAACACAATTCTGGGTATGTTTTTGATGAAGTAACAACATTATAAACATGATTTAAATCTCATAAGTCAATTTTGAGCAATATGAGACCTTTAGCCTACGAGCTGATCTATCCTCTTCCCATTTGGGTTTGTGGGTTTAAACTGTACTTAGAAATTGTTGTTAGTATTCTCATTTGAAAGAGTCCTCCTCTCAGCAGCTTTAATCCACCAGGGAACAGTCTGTATCATGGAAAAGCCCACAGCCTCTCACACAGGGCACAAGTTGTCAGCGGGTCTGAATGGAGAGAGGCTTCTTCTAAGAGAGCTCAGATACAGAAAGTGACAGTGACAATAAAAATAGACTCCAGAGAAGCGTAATCCAACACCACCAGGTCCCCAAGAGCAAAGGCTTAACAAGGCCAAGATTTATTTATTACTGAAAATCTCATCCACATTCAGGATTTCAGAAGAGCGTTGATGGTGTAATATTTAGAATGTCAGGTAATGAGGTGGCAGAGTGGTTAGCAGTTGTTGCGGGGGCTGTTTGTGTGGAGTTTGTAACCTCTTTGACCTATAGTCTCGCTTAAAGGTGCCCGATGGAACAATTTCTGGTGGTGGGTATTGCTTTTCTCCATGGAGATGTTGCGCTTTTAAAACATTCCTAGTAAAACATATCCATGGAAACGAGCAGGTTGCGCCACCAGGTGAAGTTATAGATCAAGTCTGTGGAGAGGCGACCTGGCTCACAGTAAGAATGCATGTTTTTCAAGAAATTTTTGATCGATAAAAAAAAAAAGAACTATATTTTACAGGGTTTTTTTTAAAGAATATACATAAAACTTTCAGACAAATCAATAATATCTTCAGCTGATCAAACAGATACCAAAACTTCTAGAAGAAATTTTCCGTAGTGCACTTTAAAATTTGTATCTACATTCAGAAAAAGGTACTGCATTTACTTGAGTACTAATCAGGTAACAAGGTAGCAGAGTGGTTAACAGTTGTTGTGGGGGATTTTTGTGTGGAGTTTGCATGTCCTCTTTTGCATAAAATGTCTCCATGGAGATGTTGTTGTTTTACTAGTGATGTTCGACAATATGGCATTAAACGTGTCTATTCCCATAGAGACAAGAAGGTCATGCCACCAGGTCAAGTGACAGGTTAAGTCTGTGGAGAGGCGACATAAGAATATGACGTAAGAATTAGGGATGTAACTATATCCAAATTTCTCGGTACGATATTTTCGCGATATGCATCTCACAGTACGATATTTACTGTGATATTTCATACAGGCTAACAACATTGTGAATATACTACTTTTTCCTTTAAAAATGCCTTGACAAGCCTTTGGTTCTGTCGTACACCAAATCCTTAAGATTTAAAAGTGCTTAATAAGTTATTTCACTGTGTAAATTGGATTGAAACACAGCAAAGGACCATGGTCTATGTAGTTCCTTCTCTTTTTTTTTAGCTATTGCTGCACCATAACAATTAATTTAAGTATAGAGACTTGAGATTTGATATATTGTGATGGCCCATGATACTATACATGTCCTTCCTGTGTATCAGTACTTCCCATCTCCTTCGTCTTTCACTATTTTTCAATTCCATTGTGAAGGGAAACAGTCTGAACGGAGGTTTGCATTAACACAGATCTGATTCCTTTATGCAGTTATGGAGTTCGCAAACTTTCGAAGCCCGTTTTCTGCTGTTAGGACATCCAACAACCACACAATTACACAATGTCCGAATCCCATAATTAAAATATGACAATATCAGAACCAGAAACAAAAGCAATCGTTCAAAAGACTAGAAAAAACTGGCTTTGTCAGTTGATGCATCCAGCTGGGAACATGTCAATTTGATGCTCGCTTTTTCGGAGGATCCTTCCCAGTGCATTGTGCGATGACCACAAGTCTGAAATTCGGAATGCATGTATTGAAAGACTTTTTGTCATGGTTCATGTTTTGTAGTCGTTGTTTTTGCTTATTTTGATATCTTTTTCCTGTAGTGTGCCTTTAGTGTTTTATTTTGACATTTGTCCTGTCAGCTTGTAGTTTTGAGTTTTACTTCCCGTCTTGATTGTTTGCCCCGCCCTAATGTGTTTCACCTGTGTCTATGTGCTCTTATACCCTGTGTTCTCCTCTGCCCTTTGTTGGTCCATTGTCTCTGTCCAAGTTTCTCCGTGTCTCTTGTCATGGCAATTTAGTCTTGAGTTTTGGATTTTTTTTTATTTGTTATGAAATATTTTGAAGCAGTCCTGCGTTTTGGGTCCTCCCTCTGTTTCCACGTGACACTTTTGATGATACAATATCACGATAATTTCGCTATTGTTACATCCCTAGTAAGAATTTAGTATTTAAAGAAAATGTTAAGCAAAAAAGAAAATCATGTAATGAAATAAATGTTGGATAAGCTTGTTTATACATAAAACCTTCTGGACAAATCAATACAAATACAAACAGTTGGCATACACTACACCTTTAAATTATATGCACATAATGAAAAGACTACC